ATGCAGCCAGCTGAAATTTCAAGGAGAGTGACCAACAGCCTTGATTCCTTTACATTTGTGAGGCCTGCTTGATTCCAAGCCTTCAGAAGTCACCAGGAGTGTAATGGAGAGGGGTCAGATCCCTTACATGGGCTGAGTTATCTCCACTTTGTGAGACTGTTTCTGAAAGCAAGCTAATGGCTGAGCAAACCACATTAGACAAATAGCTGATGACATATAGGCAGAACTAGATACAGATCTGATCCAAACGTCTCATTGGCAATCCCCTGCAGGCTTTTACTCACCCCTGCTTTTGCTGAGATAAGACATTTATTTCAGACATTTATATTGTTTCTTTCCTCGCTCTGTGGTTTATTTTGCAGAGAGCAAGTTTTCCTGTGCACAGTCCTTGGCTGACCCCACTCTGCAGTGGGTGAGCATCCCGTTGTTTTTAACCCCACTGCCCTTTATAGGTGGGAGCATGAGGCTAATGCCAGCCTTCATCCATGAGACCCTCAAACTCCTCTCCTTCTGTGCTCATTAGAGAGAGGCAGATGCCACCAGAGGTGGCAACTCTGGGTGGCACAACTGCCTCCAGGATTGCCCTCCCTTTGGAGACAACAAGCTTCATCACATAGCTCTCTACTGTTTGTGTTCTTCACGGAGGTGGTGGCAATTTATTCCTCTGTGAAGGAGGCAGATTAGATGACCAAAGTATCTTATGTATATTCTTGTTTTGCTTGGCATACCTGTACATGCTGCCATCCAATTTGGGGAAAGATTCAGAGGATGAATTTGTGAAACCTGGGCACGTGCATGTAGCGTGAGAGTGGCCACTGCTTCTGGACAAGTCATTTTGTATTCAAGGATGCTGAGGCACTAAAGCTGCCAAATGGCATTTGGAAATACAGACGCTGAGTTTGGTTCAATGGGACCGAGGTGCCAATGAGAGGAGGGGGCTCAGGGTGAGGTGTGGGCTGCAGTTACAGCGTGCCACCTCCGAGGGCGGCGCAGCCAAGGGCAGTGGCATAGGTCACCTCTGTGTTCCTCAGAAGGCTGCACTCCTGGGGCTGCAGCACAGGATGTGGGAGGAGAGGATGTCCTATTCCTCCTTTGTTCCACAGTCTGACACTGGAAGGAAATTAAATCCCCACAGTAAAAAGCTGAGAAAATGAAGGTGAAGACACCCAAAAAGCAACTGCAAAAATCATCTTCTGCTGCTTATTAGTTAGCGAGGCAAGAGCTTTGGGGGAAGGCAGGAGGTGGGGCTGGCTGTACTGACTGCCCTTCTGTGTTTTTCCCTTCCTGGAGATGCTGGCTCCAACGCACCGTGCCGCCCGGCACAGTCGCTCTGATGTGCTGCAGGGATGGCTGTGCCATCCCCTCTCTTTGCACGGTGATGCTGCCCTCACCACACGCATGCAGAAACTGTGAGCAGATTTTGGGCTGGTACCCTTGGGTGCTGCGACAGCACCGTCTTGCTCTCTGCTTGCTGCAGTTATCTCAGAAACCCCCGTCCTTCTCTCACCCAGCTCCTCGGCAAGCTGAGGCTGCGCAGCCTTCCCTACGTCAGCATGGAAGCCCGGAATCCCCAGCACGGAGCTGCTGCGGCTTTGCCCCCGTTTTAGCAGCATGCAGCAGCGGGGAACCTCCGGTGCATCACTCTGCAGACTGACGGCACGGCTTTGGGAGCCCCGGCTGGGAAACGTGACCTTGTTTGGCACATTCAGAGCCAAAATGCAGCCGGACGAGTTGGTTATAATATGGGTGAGATTCTTAAATAAGCAGCACTCGATGAGCGCATCAAGACGTTTAGTAAGAGCCTTCATAGTCGTTCCCACCCCCGCCCCTGAGCCCCCCCTACAAGCGCTCGAGGCAGCGCTGCCATCCACAGCCGGGAGGAGAGAGGCGCAGTGATTTGTATTCCGGCTCTGCCTCTGCTCCCAGAGCAGAAGCGAGTAAAAATAGCACTCAGTCATTTGGTAAATAATAACCATCTCCTCACGGGCCCGGGGAGCCGTGAGCACTTAAAGGGGGGAGTGCGGGGAGGGGGATGCCCGCCTCTCCTGGCTGCATGCAGAGAAACCAGGGCTGGGAGGGGATGGGCGAGTGGTTGCTGTGGAATGGGAACCCCAAAGCACTGCTTTACACTGCATATGAAAGGGAGGCAGCCCACCCTGCTGGCATGGGGTGGCAGAATCCAGCCCTCCGCATAATGCTAATAGAGGGTTTGTTGCTTGCACGGGGGAAGTAGCAAATTCCTGAAGAAAGAAAGGAGCAGCTTTAAGGAGCAGGCAGGTGTAGGGAGTGCCATGGTAACGCTGTGGGAAAGGATGTTGCAGCATTTGTTTTACATTTGCATTGCAGATCTGCCCAGCAGTGGAATGTGAGCAGTGGAAGCAAAGTGTTACCCACAGGGAGGCACTTTGTGCCTGGGAGAGAAGGGGCAGTGCTGATGGGTCAACTGTTGGACTAGATGACCTTAGTGGTCTTTTCCAACCTTATTGATTCTATGGTACTAAATGGCTCAGGAGCAGGACATACCACCTGGCTGACTTAACTCTGCCCGTGTTCAACAATGCTGAGCCCAAAAATCCCTTACTCTTCTAGTCCCATTGCTGTTTCTAGGTGCTGTCTTCTATTCCCAGTCCTCAGGTGGCGGTAGATGGGAACACAGTGCTCCTACATGTTCTGCAACAGGTCTGGGGATAATGCCTAACTCTCTGCTTAGTTATCATATCTGTTGGCAAGGCAGCTGGCTGCGGGCTGGGAAGGAATTGGTGTGTCCCTGCTGTACCTCTGAAACCAGGGCAGGCAGTTCTGCTCTGATGCTGCCCGGGTGTGTGCAGATCCTTCTTGCTGGGGATGCAGGGGCAAGGAGGTATCACTGTCATACGGCTATGAGCTGTGCAGGCACCCTCAGATTGCAGCCTCATGCAGGAAGCAAATCTCAGGGGCTCAAACTGCTCTGCTGGTGTTTTCATCATCGCAGGATTCTCCTGCTCTGCTAAAATCCCTGCTTGCTCAGGAATGGTTCAATTTTAGAAATCCCTTTGGATCCTGGCCAGTTCCTGCCCTGCCTTGATGCACTTATTAATGGAAAGGTTCAGTCTGGTTTTTGCCACGAGGGGTGCAGGGTGCCCAATTCCCTCAATTTTCTGGGGCAGATCAATAACCCAGTGTCTGAGCCCAGAACCCCAGCATGTGGCAGTGATGGAGCTGCCCTGCAATATGCAGAGCTCCCACCAGGCTCACCTGGCTGCTGCATTGCATGGCCAGCCGTGGAGCTGCTCTGAGATGTACAGTTGCAAATTATTTATGGTGAGCAAGCTGAACACCAGGAAAAGAGGAGGGGAGGGAGAAATATTGTGTTTTCTCTGAAGTATAATGAGAGTTTTCTCTCACAGCATACGTTGAAGAGCCTCGCTTCACTGGAGGTTTCTTCTCTGCTCTGTGTCTCATTTGGGGACTAGCTTGGAGGAAGGTGGAGAGAATTTCCCGAGTATTTAAGTCTTACAGAGCTCACTTTGCTCAGGATGCTGTCTCATTTGCTTCTGGGTGTTTCAGAAAGATGTGTATTGCATACATATTTCTCTTTAACCTTCTTTTCATCACATCCAGACAAGATCAAGGGTTACTTATATAGCACAATAATACCAGCCACAGGCTGTGTCAGATGCTCGCCAGCCATAATAACTAAAGACATGTATATGTATAGTTGAGCCATTAAGGAGAAAACCCTGACAGAATGCATTATCTTATTTTTGGATACAAAACTTTGAAGCACAAAGCTAAGCTTCATAATACAGCAAAATAACTGTCAGAGGATGGAAGGATTTCCATAGCTGAGCTGAGCAATGGGCCATCCAGGCTACCTTCAAAGCTGTTGCAGTAGCCACAATGGGACACTACAGATAAATATATATAATAAAGCTCTTACTTGTGGTTCTAAATTGATTCTTCCATTGGGAAAGTAGCTCCCAGCCAGCGCTGTACAAAAGGAGCACAACTGCATGATCTATCCCTAAAGCAGAAAGGATTTATGTTAGCATAGTGCTGAACTCATCTCATTCATCATTTTCCAGTATAACCCAGTGGGCAGAGAGCATAGCGATGTGAATCCAGAATGTCACCCACTCGCTGTGCCTTGTTTTCCCTGCAAAATGGGACAGCAGCAGAGATTTGATTTAGCAAACAAGCCAAGATTGCAATGAAGGCAGTCAAAATGAGAGCAATGTGTGTGCTGCTTGGCGTGCACGATGCCTGCTGCTGGCCCTGTTCTGGGCAGCACTTCAGTTCTTCTCGACCTGGAGGCACACGAGTAATGCTGCCCCAAGTCTTGCTGCTCCAAGAAGGAACTGAGGCAATGGGCAGTGTCTGGAGCTCAGCATCCACGAGGGCAGCACACTGGGGTGCAGCTGTTTGTGTGATGCATGGGGACAGCAGCTTTGCAGGAGCAGTTGCTCGTCAGGAGAACAGCAAGCACGGTGTGAGAAAAAAGGCAATCCGAATATTGATTCTTTTTATGTACAGACAAGCCTGAAGCTGTAACAAAACCCAGGTTTCCTAAAACTGGTAGAACATTCCTCGGCTGTTTATCAGGCTGGGAGGCACAAAGGGATTGCAGATTAAAAGGCATTTCAGCACATACCTCTATATTGAAAATGGATCTGTACTGTGTTGTGTATTGAGTAGCTGCCTGCGTTTCGTAAACACACAGCATCAGGCTGTGTGGGACAAACTCATCTTGGTGTAACTGGAGAGCAGCGGAGCTGCTTAGAGATGGTTTTGCTCAATTGCAACTGATAAAGGCAGCTATTGTGCTGGATGCAGTAGGGACTGTGGTGCCAGTTCACCAAGGGCTTTGCCAGGGTGGCATCTGCCATGAAAACACACCACACCAAAACTCAACCTCCTTCTTGGACAATGAACTCTATAATATAATTGCTTTTTCCTCTTTCTTTCTTTGTGTTTTTTGTTTTTTGTTTTTGTTTTTTGTTTTGTTTTTTGTTTTTTTCCAGACAGTGTAACTGAAGTCAAGACAGATATTTACGTGACAAGTTTTGGCCCCGTCTCAGACACAGACATGGTAAGTGCCACTGGGAAGCTGCCTGACAGGGGAGGGTTGCTTGGTCCTGGGAGAAGGGAGGACACTCAGACCTGGCCTTTGTGGATGACAGTGCCAGGGGAGGATGGATTCCTCCAACAAACAGTCCCCAATGCTTGAACCAGAAAGGAAGCAAAGCAGAAAAAAGAAAAAGAGTGAACTGACTGCAGTATTTTGACATGTTCAGGGAAAATTATTAATGAAAAGGCCTGAGGTCTGAATCTAGGCTTGTATTCCCACATCAGTTTGTCTTCTAATTAAAGCAGGACTGTGGAGCATAATTAATGGTGAGCTTTCTCAACAGCGCTTCTTGCAGCCTGGGCTCCATGTGCGCCCCGCTGCACAGGAGCTGCCTGGCCATGGCTGCTCAGCATTTCAGGCTGCCACGTGAGGACATCCCATAAGGCTGGGACCCTTCTGCAGATGGGATCTGACTACTGGGTCCAGATGATGGGAAGTGCTGGGCTTGGAGAGAGCCGTTGCCTTCTCCAGTTGGGCCAAGCAATGTCCTCCAGCCTCGTGTAGCCCCTCCGAAGAGGGGAAAGTTTAATTTTCTGTGCTCACATGGTTGTGAGCATTTCTTTGGCTGCCTCGCCAACAGTCTGGTGGAGAACTAAGTCTCTCTGCAGTGCTAGCTCCACCACATAGCCCCATGTGGCTTTGAAAAGATCAATTCTTCTGGGGTGAAAAGTTAACTTAATGTTGAGTATGAATCTCATCTGAGTTCTCTCCATTTCTCTCACTATCCTGCTGCAGCAGACCCATAATACATTCAGCAATCTTAGCCTGTGGGGAGTATCTGATAATTACTTCCAAGGTGGAGCATATTTGATTAAGGGAGCGCGTATAATGAACTGTGAAGAAGAAATTTGAGGTATTGAAAAGAGGAAGGTATTCTCCGTGATGTGATTTGACAAAATGGATTTAAAATTAGAGAGACAGTTAAAGAATAATAAATTATTTCCCCCGCGCATGCTTTGGTTCCTTGTATTTTACAAATGCGTGGCAAATGTGTTTGAGCGTGCCGTTCTGGTGTTAAATGCTCACAGGGATGTGTGAGAAAAACCCCATCTCCCCTGGAAGCGTGGGGAGAGCCCCTTCCTCCGCAGGGGTTCCTTTCATCTCAGGAGCGGGGAAGTCCCTCCCTCCCAGCTCACTCTGCCCGATGAGCTGGCTCCGTCCCTCCCACAGCCATTACTCATCGCGATGGAAAGCTGCTCTTGTGCATCGTGATGCAGACACAGACTGTAATTATGATGATGGAGGAGAGGCAGGTAGAGCTGCTGTGCAGCGCGGAGGACAGCAGCTGGTAACGAAATGCGGAGGAGGACGTGTGTGCCTTCTCCAGGAGATGCTCTGAGGGACTTCTTGTCTCATTTTCAGTTTGGTTGGGAAAGAAGGGGCTGATGGGACCTGACATACGCCCAAATCGTCAGTAGTGACCTCCTGCAGCTTGGCCTTAGTCCCTGGGAAATTTGGAAGGAAAAAAAAATAAGTAATTTCATGCTGTGGATGGAATCAGGAGAAGGACTCAGTCGTCATGTGCTCAGTTACTTCTATAAGGTAGAGAACATGCCATAAAGCTAGTGTGTTCGTTGGAAGGAATGACCTGGAAATGATGCTCTTGTGGAAAGAAGGATAAAAAAGAGGGAAAGAATATCCACATGGTATCTCTTTTCTTTGGGAGTGTTTCCTTAGCTTTAATAGGGATGAAGGTTTCTAAATAAGATAGGTTTTATCCCAATAAGTACTTTACCAAACCTACCTCCTATGGCTGGATACAGACTCATTCATTTGGACTAATGATTTTACTGAACTTAGGACCACTAAGGGCAGGTTGTTGTCTGTGGAGGGGCAAAATATCCCCTATGAGTAAGAGCCATGGGACCAAAGGGTTCACTCTTTCTCTCTTCATATTTGAACAGAACGGCTCTGTAGCCAAGGAGCGAGGCTGAATTTATTTACTGAGATGCTTTTGCTTAGCTTCCATCTGCTGCAAAACCTGTAGGTATTTCTGTGACCTATAAGAAAGTGACGTGCAGCAGCTTTTAAATGCTGCTGAGAAGAGCTGCAGGAAAGAAATCACTCACAATGATAAGTTTAGTTGGTTCTGCAGCCTCCAGGAGCCCATAAATAAAGTCTATGAAACTGCAGTGGCAGGGGAAGAACAGCTGGGGCAGATTTTCCAAAGGCCCCTTCTCTCCCTGAAAACCTTGGGAACTAATGAGATCCTTTGTTAGCAGGACGAGGCGGGTGTCACAGAGGTGAGCAGTGCAGCAGCTCATGCTGAGGGAATCAGGCAGTTCCCTTGAGTTCTACAAGCCCAGAAAGGGCACGACGTGGCATGGCTCAGAGGAATGGCAGCCCATGTGCAAGTGCCACATACTATAGTCATTTTGCCTTGGGGTCACCACTGAGCTGTAGGGTTTCTGATGCTCTGGTCTGACTTGTGGCTGTCTGACAGGCTTGTAGATGACCAATGGTCCCCCAGCTTGTATCACTGACTGTGAAGTATTAGAAGTGTTGACAGAAAAGGGTAAGACTCACTTTTCTATCCTTTCTCCACAAAGGAATACACCATTGATGTCTTTTTCCGGCAATCCTGGAGAGACGAGAGGCTGAAGTTCGATGGTCCCATGAAGATCCTTCCTCTGAACAACCTGCTGGCAAGCAAGATCTGGACTCCTGATACCTTCTTCCACAATGGGAAGAAATCTGTTGCCCACAACATGACAACACCCAACAAGCTGCTGCGCCTGGTGGATAATGGCACGCTCCTGTACACGATGAGGTGAGTTCGTGGCTCTGGGCCAGGGTATTTCAGGTACACATGCAAGCTATTACGGGACCAAAGGGTATGTAACAACTGTGTGGACTCCTGCTGGCTGTTAGCATAGCAGAGCTGCTATCCCTACTATCCTTATTTCTTAGCTTTGTAGCATCACTGGTCCTCCAGCACATTTGTGCAAGTAGCTTTTTTCTCATCATTCAAGTAGACTTTTTTCTTTTCTGTGATGAGGTGAGAGTATTTAATTCTATAGCTTGAGGAATTTCTTTGCCACTGTGGTTATTTTTGTTCCTGATCTCTGATGGGATATGAAGTCAGGATTTTGGTAATGGTAGGAAACATTAGGAGGGGAGAATTAGATATTCTCCAGCAGCTTGAGAACACATTTGAATTCGTTCAGCATATTACCCCAGAGCCCTGTGGGGTTTGCTTGTGAGAACAGGGGTTTTCTTCCTACTTCGCGGAATCCAAAATCCCAACCTGTCTAGTCAGTGATCATCTCTAGGAAAAAATCACCAGCTTTTAAAAAATGGTCTCCTGCAGAAGTCACAGTCACAGGGCAGCCAAGTGCAGCATGAGTCCACAGACTGCCTCATTCTGCTGTGAGCTCCAGCAATGGGGCCTTCCTTCCGCAAATGGGGGGTTGCTGGGAACCATGCTCTGCATCCCTCAAGAACAGGTCTGGTACGTACACTTATCACAGACTGCGACAGGTGGAGGTTGAGTTAAGTATGTGTTCATTCTTGTTGAGAGGTTCCTGTATGCTTGATAGCTATTCACCCATGTAAGTAATGTTTGCCACCTTGGAATGATGTGCTAATCCACTTTCCAAGGTAAATAGACCTGTAAGTGAAGCAGCAAGCTACTCATAGATGCACAAAAATGGTACTGAGGTGTTTACGGAAAGGTGTACATTTTTGTCTTAAAAAATTATTTCCTCTGCCTCCACCTTCAAGCCAATCCAGTCTAGTAACATGCTTCTCTGTGGGTTTGGTTGGCTGAGATGCTGTACTTCACCTCTGCTTTTAAGAACCAGATAGGATTTCATCTCTTCATAGCTGCGCTGGCTGCTGATCTACAATGTCAGCAAGTTTTACAGCCTACATTGATAAACAATGCTCTGCTTTTGTGCAGCAGCTCTCAGATATGAGCTAATCCCACCAGTGCCCGGGGGGTTTGGGTCTCTGAACATCAGGGATCTCATGTTACCAAGGCAGATGGGGTAAATGAAGAGAGAAGCCCAATTTGACTTGAGGGCTCAGTTCTGTTCTTGGCTGTCTGACCTGCATGTGGATGACTAACACTCCCCCAGTTTGTATCACTGTCTGACTGTACAGTATTAGAGGAGCTACTGGCATAAGGCAGAAAAAAGACCCAATTTCAAGGTTTTTATATCACTTCACTTGTTCTTTATTCAGCAAACAACCATTACCTTCAGCAAGTTTTGTGTGACAGAAGAAAGTATTGAATTTGCTCTTCCGTTTGCGGCTGGGCAGATGCCAGCATCACGAGGCTTTTGGGAATGAGCTTCTTGAAGGAAGCGGAGTCACAGGGGCTTTTAAGTAAATTCAGCACATTCTTCAGCTTAGCCCATTCTCATGGAAGGAGGGATGATGAAGGAAGTGTCACCTTTGTGTCTGCTCTTGTCCATCTTAAGTATACGTCTGTGCAAGGTGAAGACCCCACTCAAGTGAGGACCAGATATCTTATCACACACTGTATTGCCCATCACTGAGAACCATAGTGCATGTGGACCTCCTGCTGTCAGGATAGACAAGCTGGGCTGTCAGGGCTGCATGCTGCCTCTGGCCCAGGCAGCCCCTTCCAGGTTTGGTCAAGACTGGAACTTTGCCATGCAGTTTGACTCCTGAGACACATCCTTTACCTTGTACCAGGCAATATCCTTGAGGGATCAGCTCTGCTGATGTGCAATTAAAGATGTGTCTCTTGCTATTTATCCTGCTGTGAAAGCCAACTTCTCTTAGTCAAGGCTTACATTTATGGATGAAGTTGCTCTGGTGGAAGAGAACATCTGACACATGCATCCAGCAAAATTACACCTGAGTGACAATATTTATAACTCCCAGAGAGAGCCTCTTTGTCACTGATCTGAGCTTTGAGGAGTCACACACCCACTGTAGCTGGGCATCTAGAAACTGCCCTTAGTTCCACAATGGGAACACAGCCCACAGCACAGCCTCCTCACAGATCAGTACAGTGCCACAGTGCAGACATCTGATCCCTGGCTCAGGCTTGGCACCGGGGTGATGAGATGACCTTTGTGATCACAGCACAAAATTGTGTTTCTCTATTCCCTTCCTTCTGGCTGCTGAGCCATGGACAGGGTTACTGATTCCTCAGCCTCTTCCCCGTTGCTCCGGCTGCCTTCGAGGGAGTAGGAAACACAGCCTTACCATGTAGCCCTGCCTCTGCTGTCTTGTTTCTGGAGCTCCTACACGATCTGAGTAGCTCACAAAGCCCAGCTAGGGCCTCAAAGCACTGGTGTCAGAGCTGAGTGCAGCAAACCAGGGATTGTGCATGGATTTACATAAGGCACAGACAAAAACTCAGCTACTGCAGCAATCTCTGGATGTAATCTCTGCCTCAAATTGTGTGGGGCACATTGATAATGTTCTGGTTCTTCCTGGCCTTGAAACATGAAAACGGAGAAAGCTTGATGCTGTGCTGAAGGGATTCAACTGTGTGAATCCAGGCTTTAAAGAGCTCTTCTGCTCTTCAGAGGGGCTGTCACAGTGGCATGTGGAGGCTTTGTACTTATTGTCAGAGTGTTTCCCAGACAATATGTGCTCAAGTTATGCACTCACAGGATGTTTTCTTTAACTGTTGGGCTGACGCATTCAGCTGTGTGCCTCAGGAACCTGTATTGCTAAAGGCAACGTGCACCTGGAAAGGAGAAGTGAAACCTTGGGTGAATTAGGGGCAGAGCAGGAGGGAAAGCAAGGCACAAAGGTGTGCAGGGCACATGCAGTCCTGCTGAGCCGTGGCCCTGGATAACAAGCCCCACACCTCACTGCAACATGCTTAGGACTGGTGACACCCAGTCTGCTGTTTGAAGTCGCAGGGTCTTGCAGGGTCACTCCCAGCCAAGCCTTTGTGTTGTCTTTACTGTCTTTACTCCACATGATGGAAGTGCAACCATAATTCTTTGCCAGAGAAGCAGCTCAGACACTACAGAACCAGCTCCTGTGGGCATTTTGGACTATTTGACAGCTCTCTGGCTTCATCCCTCCTTGGCCTTAGCTGTAGACAACAGCACAAACAGATGCAAGCAGACCAATGCACACAACTGATTAGATGGGCTGAGGTTTGCAGAGCCAGTTTGAAGCTTTTCCCTTCCAGACTGTTTCCAGAGTGGATCCAAAATAAAAAAACCGACCTATTTTTCAGGCTTGGTTTTCTGCAGGCTGTCCCAAGAGGGAGAGATCTTCAGAGATCACCTCATCTCCCTGCATTGCTGCCATCACGGGCTGAAATCTCTGGGGGCTGCAGAGTGAATTTGGTGTTTTTCTATCTAGCACAAGGATTCCAGTAGCAACATGGCTTTCAAACTCAAACCCCAGCAATTAAACCTAACCTAGATTTGAGCACAGCCCAAGCCATGAACCACCTATCTGTCCTGACTGTGGTTATTAATGACTCTCCTGGAGGAGAAATCAGGACAAAACTCAAGCAATATCCTCAGCATAAACAAAGTTGGCTTTGCTGTGCAGGGTGCCGTCATGTTTTTGTGCCACGCGTACACCGAAGGATTATTACATTTTGCGTCCCAGAAATTGGACCACTGCTCTCGCTCATCCTGCAGCACAAGGCAGGTAACGACAGGGGCTCTAATGACACATCAAAGGCTTTGCTAAGCTGCCGGTAACCATGAGAACACAGCTGAAGAGGTCTGTTGTACTGCCAGCCCTGGGAGAGGTATGTTTAGCTTGACTCATGCTTCTTGCCATTGTGTTGAGCAGTTCAAAGGGCTTCCCGTGACTTTAAAGAGGAAAACATGGCTTCTCACTGGGTGTTCCATTTTTGGTGCTGCTGTGGCAACAAAGCAGAGGGAAAACACGAGGGGTCTGCAGTTCTATTTCCAGACGGTTCTGAGCAAGTTATTGCTTGTGGCTGGGACAGAAGAGCCAAAGGATACACCAGCTGGAGGACGTGGTTGCTGGCAGTCCGGCTATTTTTCACTTTCTGGTTAGGCTTTGTGATGGCATTTCAAGGCTCAGATGTCCAGACCTGAACCTGAGTGATGAAGCAAAGCTCTGTGGCAAGCTGGTACAGGGTCAGGGGCAAAGATGAGGCTTTCTGCAAAAAACTGTTCTACCCAAATACTGCAGATGCAGTGGTAATCGTCTGGGAAGTGAGATACATTCCTCTTAGTCTGACATTTTGACGTTTCATTAGGCAGAGCATATGGTGCTGAGGAGTCTTCTTCCAGCAACAAGAGGTGGCAGGAAAGGCTGGGGGGGAGGGGGCGGGATGTGGGCACTCTGCTAAGCAGTGATTGATGCCTCAGCTCACCTAAATACTGCTGCTAATTAGTGCTGTGAAAGATGAGCGTGTGCTGGAGCGGGCATGGTGAAGGGGGGTGAAGGATAGCCAAGGGGCGCAGAGGGGTGGGAAGGAGTGAGCAGTGCCCATGGGGTGGTGGAACAGAGCTTCTCAGGGCGCTGGTGCACATGGGGCAAAGGCAGAGGCTTCAGGCCAAGGAGATTATCTGAGAACAGGAATGATGCACTCCTTTTCCCTTCAGCAAGCATTGTCTGCGAACGTGCTGACTTCAGGCTAGCTGAAATTGCTGAACCAGACTCATCTCACTGGGATGATACGGTGTTTTCCTTTTTATTTAATTTCAGGAGACTTAAAAACCCTCCTCCAATTGTGGGCGGTGAAGGTGGAAGATTAGGTTGCTTTTTCAGTAGTTTGTTGATGGATTTATTGTATTTTGTTTTTTCTTACTGACTCAGCTATTAAAACACACTTCAGATGTAAAATGTGATCGCTGTTTTCCCACACAACTAAAGTCATCTAGCACTGTCATAAAGTTGTCTCCTTCCCTTGACAACAGTTGCTTATGTTGGCTGTGGTCTGGATTGGGCAGCAGGGTATGGCCAAGGCCAACTTGTGCCCAGATCTACTGCTGCCTGGCCCCCTCTGAGACTCTTTCTGGCTGTTCTGAATGGCACTCAGCCACTGGACTCATAATCTGTGGTCCTTTGAGTTAGTGTTCAGCCTTATCCATAGCCATGGATCACAGCCAAATTCTCATCCAGTACAGTGGATGAAAAAGGCCATTCTGCTTTTGGGGGATTCAGGACACATCAGAAGTAAAGCGCTGAGCAGGAAGAAAAGTCCTTTGGAAAAGCTGGCTTTGGGAACACCCAGTTAAGAGCCTTTTGAAATAATAAAGCAATTGGTGAAGCCAAAGAAGTATCAGGAGGGTTAAAAGGAAAAGTCTTGTGTGGCCTCCTGAGGGAGACAGGTGGAATGCTAAATTTTGTGCATCAGCATTTCCTTTATGCAAGTGACAATGACAAATAGTAGAAGCAAAAAGTCCTGTGCAGTTGGAAAGGAAACAGAAAGAATGGAGTGATAAAGCTAGTGAGGACATGCTTGCAAGCAATGAAGCTCTCCATCTTCAAGCTGGCACATTTCACGAGAAACAGAATGAGAGGAGCAGAATGACACAAGCAATGTGTGTCTAACCCACAGCTTGCTACCAGGTTTTTATACCTGCTTCATGAAGTCTTAATTTTCATCCAGATTGCAAAAAAAGAGACATTAAAGTGAAGGAGCAGTTTGTTGGTAGCATTATTTGGGTCCTCAGAAGGAAATCATTGCACCACTGTGCTCATACGCTTGTCAAGAGCTCTGAATTTGCCTGGGTTTTGTACTTCACCATAAACATCCACTTGTCTCCTCTATTGGTTGTGGAGTCTACCTGCACAGCTACACTAAACCTATGACTACTTGGCCAGAGTATGCAGCCTTGCATCAACCATGGTTGGGCTGAGAGCCCAACATCTCTGTAAGGGTGTATGGGGCCATGTCCCACTGATGCTCAGTTAGCTGAGAACTGCTTACCAGAATTGAGCCTGCCCTGACTGTGGGAGATGCTGTTTGTATGGTTAATTCTGGGGTGGATGTGCCCGTTGGAGACAGGACAGTAGTACCTGGCACTGAAAAACAGCAGAAATGAGCGTTTACTTGTGTTGAATTACAGAACAGAGAGGTACCATTGACCTACTCTGGGGAGAGATGCAGAAGGTCACAGGAAACCACTTTCTTCACCTGTTTCCTTTGCCATGTCATACAAGACTAAGATGTAGACTGCAATGGGGCCATGTGCCTGTCCTTGCAGAGCTCTCCTAAGGATGGATTTACTGGATTTTATAACCATTGTGAGTGCTTCTGGGGCTCCTGTTCATGCACTTTGGCCACCCTACTCCAGCGAAATTGTGGCAGCTTCCAGCTCTGCTCCTCCACCTCTTTAGTGCCTCTGCTGGGGATGCCAGCTTCTGCATATCCTCTAAAAGCAGCAAGTGAGAATGTAAATGGGTCCAAAATCAGGTTCCTTCCTTCACCCAGCAGAGCAAACTTCATAGCTGTCAGGGTGTTTCCATGGTACAACAGCCAAAGTGAAGCAGCTCTGCTCACTGCTGCTTCATCCCTGGCACAGAGCTCACTCCTGCCTGTCATCTGCCACGTGCAGTCATCATCACCACAGCTTCTGTCCTCACTGAGTAGTCCTGGAGCCCCACTGGCCCCAGACCACTTTCCCTCTGCTTGGTTTCCCCACAAAGGTGCCTAAAGTTCTGGGAAGTGTTTGCTTCTGTCCAACAAAATACTTCAATGCCAACTTTAGAAAGTAATCCTAATTTATTTTTTTTTCTAGAATCATCGATGAAAACAACTGCTCTTCACTTTCCCTTTCTTTTTCTCTCTTTTAAAAAAAGTTTTTTTTTTCTTCTTTCTTTGTCTTTATTTCTTGCAGGCAAAATCTGCACCCCTTATTTTTTCTAGGGTTCGAGCCTCAACATTTTCTGTGGAAGGTAACCCCAGCATTTTCTTTTTCTTAGAAGACCATTTTGCAGCTAAAGGAATATGTCTTGCTGGAATATTTCCATTGTGCCTCTTGACCTGAGTTTTCCACAGGCAACCTTTACCCTTCAGGCTGTGCACTTGTCCTTTGAATCCTTCTCTTGCTTCTGTAAGAGGCTGCTTTTTCTGAGACATCAGAAGTGGGTCTTTTTTAGACCAAACTGTACCACTAAAGAAGATGGTATTAGAAGTCTCCTGGGAAATCATCTGTTCTGGCTCTCCCTCCTAGTCTGCAGGCTTTTTAATACTTCAAGACGGAAGAGTTTGGAGCTTCCTTTTTTAGAGCCCTTTATAATGGATCCTTTCATGCCTGGCCCTGTGTTCTGCAGCGTGCTGTGATGATGGCTGCACCACCCTTGTGAGGCTGTTTCCTGACAGGGCATCCTGCTGGGAAATGATGGACGCCTAAAGAGCACAAGTTGTCCTGCAGTCTCACAACAGCCCCAGGATGCATGATTCTGCATCTGCTGTGTGCATCTTCTACAGTGCCACCACCACTGTTTGGGGACATGAGCTCTGGTGCCCCAAGTGCATGTGGCTCTGATTTTGTTCGGTGTACCTGAAGCACACTGTGGCTTCACTGAATAATCTGAGCTCTCAGCTTCTTCCAGGCCACTGGGAAGAAAAAGCCATGTTAGTTGTCCCTGGGAAGCAATTTCCCTCTGTTTCCCAGCATGGTCCGTAAGATATCCCCTGGCACCAGGCATTAATGAGCTCCATGTGCACAGTTCATAAGCAAACAAAAGTCCTGGGCTTTGGCAGATTTTCTGATTGCACTGAGTAGATAAACTCAGTCAGTAGGGCTGAGTTCAAAATATGAAATGTGGCCAGCTTGGTGTGCCTGCTGCTCTCAGCAGCTGATGGCCTTCTGCCCAGAGACCCTTAGGTTAGTGACCACATCGAGGCCTTTGTTACCTCTGATGGATGCAGCGTAAAGATGTCATGGCAGAAGGGCCAGGTGGGATCCACTGCAGCCTGGTATTTCTGATCATGCCTTGTGTTCTGTCTTGTAGGCTAACCATTCATGCAGAGTGCCCCATGCACCTGGAGGACTTCCCAATGGATGTGCACGCTTGCCCGCTGAAATTTGGGAGCTGTAAGTACCTTGATCAGTCTTTATAAGCAGGTGGCTTCAGAAGAAGAACTATCCATCACCTGGCCAGTGCCTTCCAGTGTTTTAGACATGGTGTTATTAGTTACAGAACAGTTGATGAAGGGAACACAACCAAAAATTTGTTTCTGGTATGTTGCACAAAATTCCTGTTGTCATCAGAAATGAGCAAGGAACATCGTCAGGCAGCCTGCTCTCAACTGAAGAGCAGGCAGACTAGGAGTCTGAGTCCCAAAACCAACCAAGTCTTGATTTAGGGAAGATTTGCAGTCTGTTGATCACATAAAGGTTGCTCCGAGGCTTAAGACTAGCAACTGCTCATCTGCTTGACAAATTATTATCTCTGTGGCTCCTCTGGGTATTTTTGACTGATTTCTCCTCTGAACGTTTGGAG